GCGTCCGAAATTTTGAGGCCTTCGCGAGAAGCCCGGGCTACCCCCTTCCGGCGCAGCTTGCCCGCTTTTTCGCAACCCTTTCGGTAAGCAGCTCGACGGCCGGCACACTTCCGCGCTCGCCGCCGTTCCTTTCTACCTTGCTACCCGCTGTATCGTGCTCTTCTTAGCCCAGGATCGTCCTAAGGACAACGATCCTCGCTCGACGTGGGCGGCGGGCAACGTCAGTTACTCGCCACCTGCTTCGACTTGCCGGGCCTGCTGCTGCTGCTGCTGCTGCTGCTGCCTACCGCTATTTGCTGGCTCATGAAACTCTTTCCTTCGGTACACCTCTGTTGTTCTTCTTTTTCGTCTCTTCCTCTTCTCTGCTTCTCTCGTCTCGAATTCGTCGGAGCAGCTTCTCTCCGACTCGCGTACGGCCTGTCCGACTTCTTCTTCTCGTTTCGATTTATAGGTATTTGTCCGAATCGCGTAGCGTGCACCACCGATCGGTCGTTTCGCGCGCGATCCACGGTTCTTCCACTTTGATCGATCCTCGAAACTCGTTTCCCGTATCACCGATCGTTCTCGAAATCTCGTTCAATCGTGCGTGAGCGCGTACTCGCGGCTCGATCGCTTCGTCGTTGTCTCTTCGGTTTTTCCTCCTGTTGGTTCTACTCCTCCTTGCTCTCCGGTATTCGGTCTGTCTTCGCGTCGATGCGTAGCGATTGTTTTTCGCGTGTGTGCGTGTGCGTGTGTGTCGTGTGTGCGAGTGAGCGAGTGTCTGTGTAGTCTCTGCTCGATGAATCAGTGCGCGCTCGATTGGACGTCCTCCTAGATCGGAGAACAGCCGATTTCTTTCTTCTATCTAACTTAAAGTCTATCGTACACTTAAGTTCAGGTTAAAATTCAGGATTGCCCAGCCCGGACGGTGTGAACGAGAAGGACAGTGCGTGCGGACGCGAACTCGCTCGAATTCGAAGAGAGTCGTCGTGGCCCTTTTGTTGCCGTTTCGTCGACCGGCGAAATCTCACTCGCGGATGAACGATACTGCTCGTCCCGTTTTGCCCTGAGTAGTTAGTAGCCCCGTTATGTCGATGTGCGTGTACGTGTGTGTGTATGTGCGTGTACGCGAACGTGCAAGTCCGAAAGGTCGGAAGCGTGAAAAAAGGGACTCGCGCGTTCACCGTGCGACGATGATAGGTCGTGTAGTTTCTTCGAATCGGGACGACAGTCGTTCCTCTTCTCGCGGGATTTCGGATTTCGGTCACTCGTTCCGCGCAGCGTGTCTCTTCGTGGCTGCTTTCTTCTCGACGACTCGTTTCCTCGTTCAACGCCGCGTATTTTTTCGCGTCCGATCACGACTCCTCCTCGAAATGCGACTCTAGGGTTTTTTTTAATTCTTTAAAAGGAATTCTATTCGATTATCGATTAACCGCTCGCCGTTACCGATATATCGTCGATGGTAGTTGTGGTTGCTTCTTATTATCGTTTAGGTTTATTAATATTGCACTTAGGTACACTCGTTTTTTGAACACACTGAAATATATATGTATGCGGCGCGAGGTTTTTCTCTAACGAGCTGCTGATGCTGCTGCTGCTTCTTCTCCCTCTTCTTCTTCTTCTTCCTCTTCTGCTTTCTCTTCTTTCTATTCTTCCTTCTCTTCTCCCTTGTCCTTTCCTTCGTCTTTTCTCCAACCGATATTCTCTCGATTCTTTCAACGTTCGCTTCTATCTTTATTCCAGATCTTCTTCCGCTTCTGCTTCTTCGACTTCTGTTCTACTCCTTTCTCGTTAGTTCGTTTTCTCCTTCTCGTTTTTCCTTGCTCTCTCTTCTTCGCTATCGAATCACTTCCGTCGCAACCCCGCTTCTACGCGTCTCGCTTTCGCTCTTCTTTTGCTCTTGTGTTCTTCCGCTTCTTCTGCTTTGCTCGTCTTATTCTGCTTCTTCCGCTTTGTCCAGTCTTCCTCTCCTGCGCGGGAATCTCTTGCTGCAACGCGTCTCCCGCTTGAAGCTGCAATTCAGAAAGAAAACGCTATTTTTACATCTTCCTCTTTTCTCACTAACGAACGATTCGCACAAGTTTGTCACTCGATCTATCGTCAACGACGCGTCTCGATGCATGCAACTACGAATTATCTAAACTTTCTAAGGCTTTACGGGATTCCACGGTTTCGTTCAACCTGTCACCAAGCACGATCACGTCTATCAATCGTATCGTTCGAAGACACGTTCTTTTTCACACACCGCTTCTTTCGGAACTAGAGGTTGAAAACGAAACGTCGGAACGCGTAACCATTGGATCAGGAGAAGATTGGGGAAAGGTTTTCGGTTAAACCGATTTAACGATACGGCGAATATCACTGTTGCCTCTCGCACTGTTTAATCACGAATTTATGATCACGGTTTGATAACTCGCGAAAACACGCGAGTCCCCGAACGTTTTGCCGTCGCGTCGCACTCGGCTGTCGGTCACTGAAATCCGCTCGTGAGAATCTTCCGCAACTTGCGGCTAAACAACAAACTGATGGATTTTGCAAAGAGAAGGGATCGCGTAGAAGGAAATAGTAGAATAGATGCGGTCTTTAGTCTCGACAGTTCGCGAAGACGAGCGCGCGTTTTCATCTGGACAACGTTGCTCCGTTATGACGATTTTCAAGAACCACTGTTTCCGATTAAAATCGCGAGGTTCCCGCGTCGAGACACGTCTCTTAAATTCGACGACTACTTCGCGCGAGGAAGAATCGTCGAACGAATCGTCGCACCGTCGAAAGGAAGATCGTGCTCCTCGTCACCTTGCGAAACAACAGCCGCATCGTATTCGGCATCGATAATTTCGTTGGACACTCGCGATCATTCGCGAATCGATGTTCCGATCGGTCAAATTTTCGACGAGTCGTTGAACGAGCGGCAAAAGAGATCCACGGGTGTACTTGTTTTTTTGAGGTGGCGCGTTAGAAAAGCGGTCCGTATCCGCGGCCCGTAACCGGGATCGAGAAAGGATCGAGTCGTTGACGATCGCGACGAAACACTGTAGACGACGATAACGTGTACCGGGCATGTCAGAGAACTCGGATGGAGGGGGTGGATCAGCGGTGGTTGGCCGAAAGAGGGGAAAAGTGACCAAAATCAGGAAGGAAAAAAGAAACGATCGCTCGGACTTTCGAACACGCTTCCGTCCGTGTGTGTCGGGTACCGAACGATGATCACTTTATTCAAAGTCCCGTGGCGGGTCGAGTGCACTGAGAGAACACGCGGTGGCGATAAAAGCACGAACATCGTCGAGGGAAAAATCCTTGATCCCTTACGTTCCGGAGCGGATCGAAGATAGCTGTTCGAAGAAGGCGACGATCGCGTAAACGCACTTGGCCGACAGTCTCTTCTCGAAGCAGAGAGTTGCGTCTGTCAGGCAAAAGGACGACGAACGACGACGACGAAGACGACGACGCGTTGTTCCAGTATTCCGTTGCGATCGCGAAGACGAAGGAGCAGCACGACGAAGGCGACGACGATTCACGAGGACGACGACAAATATACAACAACGGCGCGTGTACGATCGAGGAAAAAGCTCTTTCCTCTTCCGCGTTCTCGAGTCCTTGACGGAGGAGGAACCGAAACTGACTCGGGTCTGCGGCTCGCGAGAAACGCTAAGTCCTTCTCCGTCGGGGGCCGGTGGTGGCGCGCTTCTCAGACCGCGTGCGTCTGACTAAAAGCCACCCCCTCGTGCCTTAAAGAACGCGTGTTCGGGTAGGGGCGTTGTCTTAGGTGGTGCGCGGTCGCGAAATTTCTGGCTGCCTTCGTCTCCCT